AGATTAAGGGATGAAACGGGAATTGTTGGGTGGGGAATTTAATTCTCCATCGAACAGCGTTGGTTTCTTTCCTTAATATTAATTAGGAGAAAAGAGACCATTTTTTAATTACCGGGCGAATTAATGGGGAAGCGCTCTGCGCCGGAAAACCANGAGATTAAGGGATGAAACGGGGGTTGATGGATGGGGAATTTAATTCTCCATTGAACAGTCTTTGTTTCATCCCTTAATATTAATTAGTCGGCGAATAAATCAACTGAAAAACATAAAGTAAACATTGAGTACAAGGAGGACAAAAATCCCCCTTCGAACCTGTCCCTGTCACAGCAGGACTGCTACTGCCGAGTTACTCACGCACCCGACTCACATTTACCGACAATTCGACCGGGACGCCGCCTTTCCGGTGGGGTACCAACTAACATTTTTGAAATCAGTCAAACCCCCCGATCCGGGCCTCTACTCAGTCCTATCCTCTTTGTGGTATGGAGTGGCATACGAAAAATATGGCGATAGTCCCCTCTTAAGAACAATCGCCACCAGTGCACCCAAAACCCCCGAAAAAAAAGAAAAATCGACAAATGTCACATCTATGATCACGTCTCCAGGGATTAGAAATGTCATCTCGAATCCGCTCCGTTGAAATTCGTTTCGTATGACCGAGCAGTGCCTCCATGGAAGAGTGTGCTTTAATCCTACATTCAAGTGAAAAAAAAAACGAGTGAAAACAAATAGTCATCAGAGCCAGTAGTTGTGAAACGTCACGAAAACGCTGTCTCCCACACGTAGAGGTAAAACTTTCATAACCACATTCGGAGTATTATTGACCAATACGCACTAGAGAATAACCACACATGGAAGAGTCAATGATTTCTTCACTCTGTCAGCACATTATTGAGATCTCTCACGCATTGCCTCCAACTATCCTCCCCTGCAATCATTTTTTGCGATCTGTTGTTATCAAATTTGATATAATTCTCGTGGTTCAACGAAGAGATAAACTGACCCTATTCATTAATCATCTGTGGCGACGTTAAAAAGCCCTCCCATTGATCACAATTTACCATGCCTGTACGTGTGACCTAACAGCTGTATCGTAGAACCCATTTATTGACATATCGTACACTCGAGTAAGCGTAGAACTTTACACAATATTTTACATTCCAGTGACACACTGATAACAAAAATGAACCAGGAAACTGTGTATGGTACTCACGAGGACAGCCATGTGGTCATGTCGGAAAAAGTTCAGTCACTGGCGGGAAGTATTTATCAGGAGTTTGAACGAATGATAGCTAGATATGATGAGGATGTTGTGAAAGAATTGATGCCCCTTCTAGTCAATGTTTTGGAGTGTCTCGATATCGCTTACACCGAGAATCAGGAGCACGAGGTGGAGTTAGAGCTGTTGAGAGAGGACAACGAACAACTGGTGACTCAGTATGAGAGGGAAAAACAACTTAGGAAAACAGCTGATCAGGTTTGATGATCAATATTCGTTGTATACTGTTAGAAAAAAATTGAATTTTGTAGAGAGTTTTATAGAGAACTAACGTTTCTATTTTTCAATAACAATATTGGAGTTCCAGAAAATTAAACGAGTAAAATCGAGTTAGAAATCCGAGAAAAAAATCATAATTTTTAATCATTTTTACTTCTAGTATAATTGTACTTAATTTAAGGTACACTGTTACTTGTTTTAAAGAAATCTTGGTTCTGAAATCCAAAACCTTAATGTTCTTAAATCAAAAATATTCGGGTTCTCAAACAGAGAAAAAACGAGAACATCCTCATTTTTGAATTGATGATTTTGCCTGTTTCAAAATAAATCTACTTGTATTTATAAGCCATTTGATTTGTGATTCCGAGCATATCACCTGACACGTTGACTAAATGAATTGGTCCGGCTTCTCAAATTGAGAACATCATCATTTTCTTATTAATGATTCTTTCTGTTTTAGAATTAATCTACTCGTGTTTATAAATCCTGTTTTATTGTAAGTATACCATCTGACACGTTGATCCAGTGAGTGTTAAATTAAAGTTCAATTATTCCAGGATTTTATCCTTTTCAAATACACTCAGTTTAAGAGAGTAAAAGTTCATAATTCAACAATAAATCGTTCTTGATTGAAGAACATTTTTCACTTGAAATTAGTCAGTTTTTGGTACAAAATATTAAGGATCTTATCCCATGAGTTTCTTAAAATCAAAACCTTGCTTCTAATTAAATTAATTGAGAACGCAAGAGTATAGTTACATAAATTTTTCGGATTTCTATTAATTTGTATGAAACAATGGAACTAAAAATTATAATGTCCTTTAATTTCAAAAATTAATTTCATAAGTTTGCCCAGGTTCTCAAATTAAAAACATCCTCATTTTTTAATTGATGATTTTTTCTGTTTTCAAATTAATCTAATCGTGTTTATAAATTCTTCGTTAATCAAAGTATATCACCTGTTACGTTGACTCAATGAATGTTGAATTAATGTTCAATTATTGCAGAATTTTATCCCCTTCGAATGCTCTTGCTTAAGAGAGTAAAGATTCTTAATTGAAGAACCAAATCGTTCTTGATTGAAGAACGTTTCTCACTTGAAATAAGTAGGTTTTTGGTACTGAATTTGAAAAACCATTTTCATGCCTTCTAGAACCATGCCATGAGTTTGTTAAAAACCAGAAACTTGCTTCTGATGTTCAATTGATTAAGAATGCAAAAGTGAATCTATCCAAATTTTCCTGATTCCAATTCAGTAGCCAAGTGGTAAAACGGTACAAGTCAATTTTGAGTATTGACCAGTTTTCAATGAATATCTCGAAATCTAAGGGAGATAGCAAAATATTTTTCAAAACCTTTTTTGTAGAACCAATTAAGAGCTACAACAAATGTAATTACGAAAATTTCGCTATCTCCCTTAGATTTCGAGATATTCATTGAAAACTGGTCAATACTCAAAATTGACTTGTACCGTTTTACCACTTCGCTACTGCAATTTAATATCATTCAAAAAATTTAAATTTTTTGAATGATATTAAATTGCAGTAGCGAAGTGGTAAAACGGTACAAGTCAATTTTGAGTATTGACCAGTTTTCAATGAATATCTCGAAATCTAAGGGAGATAGCAAAATATTTTTCAAAACCTTTTTTGTAGAACCAATTAAGAGCTACAACAAATGTAATTACGAAAATTTCGCTATCTCCCTTAGATTCGGAAATATTCCTCAAAAACTCAACTGGGAAATAAGTCGACTTAAATCGTTTTACCTCTTCGATACTGAATTAATTTTCATGGAATAATTGAAGTAAAAATTACCATATTCATTTTTTTTCATCAAATGGTGAATTATTAATGACGAAATGCGTGAAAATTTCAGTGGAACTGTCACTTAATAAAATTTGTTATCAATATATCCAATGACTATCGGTTTGTTAAATATTTGTTCATTTAGTCATTTAGTGGGGTTTCGTTTAGTTTCATTTAGTGGAGTTCATTTTCATCTGCAGAAACTCCTGGAGCTGGAGGATGTGGCGGAGGATGAGAGGAAGGAATTACTGTCTAAGATTGATAGTTTGGAGTCAATCCTACGAATGCTGGAACTGAAGACCAAGAATTCACACGATCATGGTACAAATGACAATGACACCAGTTCATGCCCCCACAGAACACATTTCTACAGTAGAGTAGTTTATTATTTTTTTCCGTTTCGTTATCTATTATTTAGCACACTCGTATTGTTCCTTTTTTTATTCATGCATTAGAAAGTCTATTATGGATTTATTTTCATGAATGTTTATTTTTATTCTGAAGTCGAAAGGAAACTTTGAACCGAGTCAAAGGGGTATAAAATTCTCGTGATTATTTAAACAAACTGGTAGTTCACAGGAAAATGTCAGAGCCATTCTTGTAAGTGAAGAAATCTCCTACAAAAGGAAATGAAATCTTGATCATTTTTCATGATATAAATAATTTAGTAATCGATAGGTCAATTCAATAGTGGAGTTATGTAACGGGATAAAAATTCTTCTTGTGGATGTTTTCCTAAGATATCTTGGAAAGAATTCTATAGAAAAACAAAGTGGAATCCCTAAGAAATTCAATTGAATTTTTTATTAAAAATTCCGCAGAGGATCTGTGCCTTTTTTCTTTCAATAGATATGTTTAATGAAAAATATTCTGTAGAAAAAAGTCAGTAGAATCAGAGGTATCTGGACAACTTATTCCATTGGGATATGTCTATATAAATTCCTCGGCTGAAAGTTTCCACGTTGGTTTGTTTGATTTTCTTAATGATTCTCTAAGAATTCTTTAATGCCTATAGGAGGTTAGGCGGTGTTTAAGGTGAATTTGAGAGTGAATTTCTGTGGTTCCCGGTAGCTTAGTCGGTAAGAGTGCCCGGCGCGTATCTGGGAGACCCGGGTTCGATTCCCGGCTGGGTGAAGCGGAAATTTTTTCTCTCTAAATTATAATTCTCTTAGAATAAGAGAGAAAAGAGAAAAAAATAGCGTGCGCAAAATCGAGAAAATTCATGTCGAGGAATTATTATAGAAAATGTCTCTTTCTCTAATGAATTCTTTGTGATGTTCATAGCTTATCTCTGTCTGTCTTGAAACATTCCTTGAGATTTAACTATTTCTGCTGATCAGTTAAATTGATTGGTTATCGAGACTATAATTGCCATTACCGGGTCCTCGTAACGATTCTAATCAGAACAATTAATTTAAAAAGTTATTGTGAATTTCTAGTGGTTCGTCTAGAGGAGAAAGAAGCCGAAATGAAGCGTGAGTACTCACGTCTTCATGACAGATACACAGAATTATTCAAAACCCATGTCGATTACATGGAGAGAACGAAGATGCTGGTTGGGAGCACTGAGAGATTAGAAAATACAACTGGTGGTCGTGGCCCTGCACGATTACCAGCACTTGGTCTTGCCCACATGTCCAGGAGTTCTGGACCTCTTAGTTATGGATTTCAGAGTTTAGAGACTAGTATGACTGCAGAGGATATTCAGGAGGAGGTGTCTGCGAATGGAGCTAGTTTGAAGTCAGAGATGCAGGACAATAGTAGTGAAGCAGCACCTGAAACTTCGGATAAGAGTCAATTGACTGATCAACCGGTACAGGAGAATAAGACAACTGCTGTTACTAGACGTGAGTGTCCAATCATCTTTGTTTTAGTGAAACAAGTGGACAAGGGCATTTCTTCAATAAATGAATACAGCAATTGCTACTTATTGCTGCTAATAAATTAGCAATTTGCTTCCGAATGGGTTCTCTTTTCTTTTCAATTTTTATTTTACTATTCTTTTTCTATTTTTTCTATTTTTTTTGTGTTATATCGACCCATTATCATCCAAAAACCCTAAAAATGCAATTTTCAGACCGTGTCAGAATGTGTACATGTATATATGTATGTATGTATGTGGCAAATGTTTCTTCAATTGTCCGCTAATGAATCGATGGAATTGAATCATTTCTTTTTCTCAAATGTAGGTATTATTGAATCCTATCGATCGACATTAATTAAACTTTAATTCATTTAGTAATTTTTAAAAATTTTCAATTTTTCCAAAAATAGGTTGTCCCACAATAATTAAAAAAATGTTCTGGATTTATTGGATAATAGCTTAAAAAATTCGTTTCGAAGTGCTCTTTTGATCGAGTTCCAAGATGAAGGCAGTAGAAATAGTCGTTGTTTTGATTTATATAAAAAAATGCAAAAATTTAGTATTTTTTGAAAATCGCAATTTCGGGGATATGTTGAGATATCATGCTTCAAATGAATTCAATTATAGCTCAAAATGTTAGTTTCAATACGACACTTTCGAAGTTGAACGATAATTACCATAGCTTTTACTACAAACTACTGTAAACAATGAATTATATACGGTAGAAGAAAATTACGTGCAAAATGACCATTCGAAGCATATTGCTAATTTATTAGCAAAAATAACTATACACTGAGAAAAAAAACTATTTTTGCCAAATATCCATTTACTTAGAAGAAGTATTTATTTTTTCAATCCCGCATTTCCCCAGCCGAGTCATTTCCAGGCAATTCTCATTAGGTTTCAATTATGACAATTATATTGCTCTAGAAGATGACCATATTAGTTATGACCTTGAGTGAACTCCTCAATAATTATAAACATTAAAAAATTAATCGAAATTCTTCCATGTAGAAAATAAGAAATTTAGGAAAAATGGATAATCAGTGGAGGAATTCATCCAAGGCCAAAAATATTCATCCTCTAGAGCACCATGATTGTCATAATTGAAACCTAATCAGGCTCGCCTGGGAATGACTCGATTGGGGAAATACGATTTAGAAAAAATAAATGCTTCTTTCAAGTAAATAAATATTTGTCAAAGATTTTTTTTTCTCAGTGTATCATATGAAGACAAGAGCAATTTCCCACTTGTTGTCTTCAGAATGGTTGCCACAATTGAGTGTCTCAATTAACACGACGATTAAGTGATAAAATGTCAATGTTTTGCTAGCATTTATAGATGAAAGTCCTGAGACAGAAATGCCACCTGTCGTTGTCACACCAACAACCCCAACAATTGATAAATTTGGCTCAACTCCGAGTGGTCGTAGCAGAACTGAAAGAGAACAACGAAGTGGGAATACACTTTATCAAGAGCTCAGTTTCCAAGATGCTGATGCATTAGGGGAAATGGATGAGGGTGCAGACATCACCGGTAATTTATGTTTCTTTCAATTACTCACCTTTGAAGTCAATCAGTAGTAAAACGAGATGAGCTCAAGACTTGGATGTCCGTTTGCGAATATCATTGGAGCGGGAAGATCTATGATAATTCATCACAAGCAGGGTTGGGCATGTAAATTACGTTGGTAAATCACACCGTTTTTTACTGACGTAATTTACGTAAATTACCTCGACGGGTTTTTTACATTTCTTACATTACTTCGAAAAGCTCGCAATTGGCGTTTAGTAGAATGTTTTATTTTATTCTGACACACATGAATATCATTAAAAATAGTATATTATATCGCGAGGACACATAAACCGCGAATTTTAACTTCACTTTGTTCGATTAGAATGCGGTTCTCGGTACTTGGGACATTAAATATTATTTTATGTCTCTAGGACCGTAAAACCACCATTTTAACATCGATTGCCTCGGTTAATCGCGGTTTCCGGGCCCAGAGACATGAAATATTACATGTCACACGGCGACAAAACTATTCCCTGACTTATGTGATTGAATAAAGCCGCATTCGTCAGAAAATACTTTCATCACCATTGGCGGCATTTTAAGAAACTCAGAAACATGAGCCTCATACCTCATAAAAAGTCAATTTCACGAGGGTCAAACGTTGCAAAAGACCAGTCACACTTCATCTCAATTGTGCAAAAATCAATCTCATTATCTACTGAGCTTCATTGGATTCTCCACTTCATTATTTGGAGCTCCGGAAACCTCAGTAGGACCTGCAAAAAACCATTTTGTTCTGAAGAGTTAAAAAACAGCTACCAAAGACAATTGAATGAGTTTTGTCATTTAAGAATCCTGAATGAAACAAGTTAATGTCAAGATAAAAGATGAGCCCGGTGGCTTGGCGCAGTGGATAAGTTCGTTGCCTCACATGCGAAAGGTTCCGAGTTCAAATCCCGGCCGGGTAAAATGGTGCGATCTAACCATTTAAAGTCTTAATCATCATCGCACTATACCCTAACCGGGTCGAAGCGATGTAAAATAACGATACAAAAAAAATAAATAAAAGATGATGACGCGACGAATTCAATACAGATCAATAAATAATGAGATCGACCTTTGTCAAATTTATCCCTTACACGGTATAACCCTTACGAGGTATGGCCCTCGAGACGTATGATCCTGGCGAGGTATGAACCTCGTGATTTACCATCCTCGCGAGGTAAAATCTTCGCGAAGCTTCACGGTTTACGATTAAAGGTAACGTCGGCCGGTTTTTTACATTTATTACGTAAATTACGGGTTTTTTATAATATCATGTACAAAACTATGGTTATCGGCAGATGCCCAACCTTGATCACAAGACATTCTTCTAGCCCTCAAAGTTATCCACAAGAAATGTCTTCTGATGGATTTTTTCAAACCTCTTCATCCTCAAGATATTTGCAAAATATTCTTGACATGAAATTTTGATTCTACCTCTCTCATCATTTTAGTGAAAAATTAACTCCATAATTCTAACATTCATGACTAATCCTTAATCCCTCATCCATTTATAGGCAGTTGGGTTCATCCAGGAGAATATGCTTCATCGGGTATGTGTAATAAGATATCACTAGAAAGTACTAAATATGAGTTTTATAAATACGAACGAAACTCAGTTGTTCTTGAATCTGTTGAATCAATAAAAATACTAACGATTGTAAATATTTTTCTCTGTTCTACTTTTGATATGTTCTCACCAAATATTTACCAATGTGATGCATGGCGAATAACCAGTCAATGACAACTTTTTCGGTAAGTGCCGTTTGTTTTTCATCTTTCATTCATGAGACACGCTGTCATCTTGCCTCTAATGACTCATAATATTTTCCTATGTCTTGCAGGAATGGGAAAGGAAGTCGAGAATTTGATTATGGAAAATAATGAGCTGTTGGCGACGAAGTAAGAATTGTCTTTACCTCTTTATTTTGTTATCATTTCGTAATGCAGGAGGCTAACAAACACGTTTGGTGTTCTTTTAGAAATGCTCTAAATATAGTGAAGGACGACTTGATAGTGAAAGTTGACGAATTAACTAGGTAAGTAACGCAAGATATTAAAAAAGTGCTTCGATAAACAAAATTCAGATTTTCTTTTAAGGATATCCAAGTATCTTATAGTTTGGTACTGATCACACTATATATTCAACCATTTTCAATCATCAAATTTATCAATTAAATTGCGTGAGAAAGATTTGGAAAATTTTTTCAATATTCAGCCTAATTCGAATTATATTCTGCGCAGAATTAATATTTTTTTAAACATTCGTTGTTTATAAATAAATAATTGCAATTGTTTCTGCTTTCGGAAACCTTATTTTTTAGGCACGAAATGGATTTCTGGTAAAATTCTGCATATGAATGAATTTGTTACGATTCTGAACAAATGATTTTTATGGTGGCAAATTGATTGTTTATGAATTATTGATAGAAAATGTTCGTAATTTTCCAGAATTGCAATTTTTTTATAATTTCATCAGTCTTCCTCCAAAAGGAAACTTTCCAATTTTTTTTCAGATTAAAAAAATTTTTTTTGACCGTTCAATATCGAGATTCGAATTCATACCTACACAGTTTAAATAATAAAATAATTGTAAAATGTACAGAAAGTTGGGGTCAAATGAAGCTCAAATGCAAGTTCTGAAGTTCGACTACAAAAGTAGAAAAGTATTTCACGGGAGAGAAAATAGTACTTGGATATCCTTAATTTAAATAAGTTTTCAAATCAAGTTTAAAAATTGAAATTCACAAATCCGGGTGTATAAATTTTTTAATAATTCTAACTAAAACTAATTTTCAACTAGAATTGAGAATTATTCTATAATTACACGTACAAAAAAACTTCATACAAAAAGCTAGCGAATTCGTTAGAAAATTCGACCGACTTTATATTAAACGTTCTATTAGTTTTTGGCTGATTCTATTAAAGAATTCTGCAGGCCAACTGCGGGGTTTTTTTCTGTGAAAAATATTCCACAGAAAAAATTAATAGAAATTAATTTTCCTATACAACTTATTCTATTGAGATCTTTCCTATAAAAATTCCCCGGCTCAAAATGTTCATTGTTATGCTTGTTTGATTTGTTTTCAATAGAAAATGTCTTAGTAGAAAAGTCGTATAGAAAGATGGAATTCTACTGATTTTTTTCAATAAAATAGTTTCTATTGGAAATTTTCTGTAAGAAATGCGCGTAGTGAAGTTGAGAATTCTTTGATAGAATCGGCCGAAAACTAACGGAATTTTCAATATAAGTGCAATAGAAATTCAATAAAATTTTCCATCGAATGCTCTAGGTTTTTCTATGAACTTTTTTGGTGCTTACAAAATAAAAATAATTTTAGTTTGAAACTGAAATTTGAATTCCTCTCATTGAGTTCTTGTTTTGTTTCTTTATATAATGAGTCGCAGTTGAATGATTCCATTGTTTAATATCTGATACTATTTTTTCTTCTTGTATAATTAACAGTGAGCAAGAAATCCTGCGGGAAGAAGTACGAGGAATGCAACAAGCGAGAGACAGACTTCGCCAGAAAGTAGCAGCTCTGGAAGAGGAGCTGAAGAAAACCAAGGAAGAAGCGGAGACAGCGGCGAAAGCCACGAAGAGTGATGACGAGGAGGATGTGCCACTGGCCCAGAGAAAACGATTCACCAGAGTGGAGATGGCTAGAGTACTTATGGAGAGGAATCAGTACAAAGAGAGGTTTATGGAGCTCCAGGAGGCTGTGAGATGGACTGAGATGATTCGAGCCAGTAAAACAGATCCTGCTAGTATTTCTGGGGGGAAACAATCTGTTTGGAAGTTGTGAGTACTCTAAAAAAATCTGCAATTGAAACTACTTATCTCGTTCTACACATATAAAAAGTTTCTAGTTTCCAGAATCAAGTTACTGATATTAAGTAACTCTTGTTTTAGAAGCATTTCATTTAAATCCCTAATATTTAGTCTAAAAAATCTGACTATTTCAAATCAGAAAAGTTTTTAAATTAAGAACATTCGAAGGGGAAATTCTGTAATAATTGAGCATTAGATTAATCGCTAGATTAATTTGTACTATTTTATTTTATTACCATTTCTGTCTTCACAATCAGATTAATTTAATTTTATTCATTCTTATTTTTATTATACATATATTGTTTCCTTAATTCATAAGTTACAACAGTGAATGAAAAGGAATTATGTGAAAGATCAATCGAAAGTGGTTTTTTTTCTTCTGAAGCCTTGTTTTTGACCGATTTTTCGATTTTCTAATTTAGATTGCAAATGGTCTAGAATTCTATGAAACGTGAAGAAATAATGTTTTTAGGGCCATGTCTGTATGTATCTATCCGACAACTTAGGTTTTTAGTGACTAATTTTTAGAAAATTCAATAAAAGGGCATGCAAACAATTTTTTAAAGCCATTATTCAATGAATTCAAGACATTTTAATAGATATCATGAGACAACCGTTTTTTGGAAAAATACAAAAATTTTAACAATGATTAAATGAATTAAATTTTAAATCATGTCGATGGATAGGACTCAATAATACCTTCATTTGAGGCAAAGAAATGATTTAACAATTGAAGAAAACCTGTCTCACACATACATACATACACACATACGTAAGGACACTATGTAATAATTGCATTTGCGGACTTTTCGGATCATAGTGGGACGATTACAAAACTTCCATTTGGAAGAAAAAAACTATCAAGATTAGGTTTGAATGATGATGCATCCGGGGCTTAGAGTGGAAGAGTGGAACTACAAAAAAATCAATTATTGCTTGAATGATATTCCCTTTTAGAATGGAAGAGTGGAACCACTAAAAAATCAATTATTGCTTGAATAATATTCCCTTTTAAAATGATAACTATATTTCTGTGTATTACGTGACATCGTCTCAATTCAACTGATTCTTAACTATTTTAATTAATTGTACTAATGATAATTTTTTAAATTCAGTTTTAGTAATCTTTTCACTGGACCAGCAGACCGAGGAACTATTCCGAGGGGTCCACACACGTTACCACACATTCGTTACAGTGCCCCAACGAATCAAGTTGTTCCAGCACCACCGCTGGACGCAATGCGTAGACGTACATTGAAAAATCGCCATGACTTTCTGGATCAGGGTGACACCATGTGAGAATCAAATTGTATTATTCAAAATGCACATTATTTATTTGTTAATTACACGGCTGTTATTCTTGTCTATTGTTTTCTACCGTTTATGGAGATTATTTGTTTGATTTAGTATTTGATTCTTCTTTTGTAAATGTTGTTACTGACCCAAAGAATTCTATTGTTAAGAGCTTTTGTTCATAATTTTATGCGGTAATTGAGTGAATACAACAAAGAGGAACATCTCACTTCATGTAGCAAGTTGCAGTTTGTTTCGTCTATCGAATTAATTTAATATTGCAGTGAAAAGGGAAACGTCTCGATTGATTTTGTTATGAATTTTATTAGCCGAAAGTGACAAATTATCACCACTTATTTGCGGGTATTATGTAAATAAAGAATTTGTATATTTTTGCATCCATATATTATACCCAGATCCCACCGAGGTTCTGCCAATAAAAGATAATCTGTGTGCCATACATTTCGGCTTTTATTTTGAAAATCACGTAGATTTAATGCACTCATGTTCAAAATTGGTATGGCATTGTAGAAGTTATCATCAATATTGCCTATCAGACTAAATGACAAGATATTTCAGAGCTTCGGAGAAACGCGTAGCACGACTTGCCAACGAGAGAAAGGAGCACTATCGTCAAGTGAGGGCACACGTGCGTAAGGAGGATGGCAGACTGCAAGCTTACGGCTGGAGTTTGCCTGGTAAACCAAGTGCACCAGCTAGACAACCAGTTCCAGTCCCAGTTTACTGCCGGCCACTCCAAGAGACCGAGCCAGGAATGAAGGTAAAATGAAGGATATTCATGTAGGGTGAATGTTCCGTCATGGAATATTTTTTCGTCGTTATTTTATAACAATTTAAGAAATATTATTTATTCATTTCTCAATTGCCTGGGATTATTTCTTTTCAACAAACAGTGAACACTCCAATTGCTGGACGAAGTGAAAATAACAAACAAAAAATAATTAAATTAAGAAATCATTGAACGCAGCCGAAACCCCTAATTTCTGGACGACTAGGCCATATTTTTTTTATTTATTAAATGCCGATCAATAGAAGAAATAATTGATCGCATGATTATACACGAGTAATATTATTGAAAGGTGAAATAATCAGTACAATTTTCATTTCATTTATGGAATATTCAATGCAAGTTGAAATCGTCCACAAATTAACCCCCGTCCAGAAATTGACCTGTTTACCCTACTTCGGCTATTTTTTCTCCAGTGAAATTCTTTTCCACTTTTATACTCTAACATCCATTTGAACCTCATTTGACCCTAAGTTTCCGGACATTTTACATTGATTTTATTATTTAAGCTCTGCAGGTCCGAATTTGAATCGCGATATTGAGCCGTTAGCAAACAATTTACAAATTTGAAAATAAATTAGAATGTTTACTTTTGAAGGAAGATTGATGAAGTAATTTAAAAATTGTAATTTTTGAAAATTATGATCAGTTTCTCTAAATAATTTATAAACAATCAATTTTCCATCGTAAACATCACTTGTTCGGAATCGTAACAGATTTATTCATATTCAGAATTTTAGCAGAAATCGATATCATGCCTAAAAAATTAGGTTTCCGAAAGTTTAAACAATTTCAATTATTTATTAATAAGCAATGAATGTTCAAAAAAATACTAATTCTGTGCAAAATATAATTTGAATCATGCTGGATATTCATGATTTTTTTCAAATTTTTCTCTCGCAATTTAATTGACCAATTTGATGATTAAAAATGGTTAAGTCTATGATGCGATCCGTACCAAACTGTAAAACATACACGGAGAGAAAAATACATTAAAAAGTAAAAAGAACCTTCCTTAAAAATTAGTGTATTTCATCAATGAAAAAATAGAATGCTGTTCACCCAGTTTTTCGGAAGAGTCACATGAGAAACTACGGAAAACGCATGAAAAACTAGTGCACGACTCACAAAAATTAGGGTGCCACATATGAATGTTTCAGTACGGGAATACCACTTTTTCAGTCTCCCTCTACTTTCTTGTGCCCCTTTCGATACTTCCCATGCGTTGGTGAGAAGGTACACTAATTTTCGAGAGATTTTTCTCTCCGTGTACTTGGATATCCTTAAGAAAGAGATGAATCCTCCAAGTTATATAACGGTTTTAGAAATTATTTTGCGAACATCTCTGGAAGGAAGAAGTATAAAGAAATTTGTCAGGAGACCTCTTCGATCGAAAATGTTGTCGGCTACAAAGAATTTTTTTTCTATTTTTCGCTCAATTTCACGCATTTGGGGATAACTCAAGAAATAATTCTTATGAATTGTCTAGACTTATTTGTATTGACTGTTCCAACGACGTGACGTTCCGAACCGTGCATGTAGCAACTGAAATTTACACTAAAGATATTTCAAGTGAATATTTCGAGTAAAGGGGCAATTGTAAACTGCGTATTTCATACAAAGTTTCATGAAATTCTACAGAATTATTGAGGACCTGGAAGACAAGAATTTGTCAAGTTACTTGAATTTTCAATTCAATCAATTGAAAATTCAAGAGTATCTTTACCAGAATTTTTTTCTATTATTTTTTTATCTCTTTAACGAAATTCGTTGCAATTTCCTTCAAGAACTTGCAACTGGACATCGCCCGAGAGCCTTCAGCCAAAATTTCTATCAATTTTCATGAAATAGTGGAACTGAAAACGAGAGTTTCCATTGATTTTCTCATTTTCAATTGAACAGTTCCTTAAAATTTCTAAAAAAAAAATTCTCTCAATTCTTCTCAACCATGTGGGGTCACGAGTCATGAGAATACCAATTGATATTAACTCGGACCATATTTCTAATAAAGATTTTAAGTTGAAGCGAAACAATGAAATTTGTCACTCCAAATTGAAGAATGTATTGACCTGACATTTCCTGATTGCTATTATATTCCATGGAATGATTGAACTGAAATTGACAGTTTCCATTGATTTTTCCAAGATGAAATTCCTTGAAATTTCGGTAGAATCGCAAATTGAAAAAATATACAAAAATATAACCGTGTATATAAAAAGCAATCTCAGTAAAAATGTCCGTAGTTAAAATGTTATAGATAAATATCGCAGTTGAATTGTCTAGTTAAACAGTAATTTCATCTTCCTGAAAATTTAATCCCGGCGTTTTAAAAAGTTAATCTTCAATAATCAATGGTTCCCTAGATTTGGTGCGGAGCTGGAGTTAATCTAAGTGGTGGAAAGACTCGTGACGGTGGTTTAGCTGTTGGTGGAAGTGTGTTTTACGCTGATGAAGCACAAGAAACCATAAACGTTAAAGGTGAAGTTGAGGATGCAGTTGAACATTTAGACCAAGAGCTGCAGGAGAGTGAGCAGCGTCGTCTCGAGGCTGAAAAATTGGAACAGCAACTGAGCTCCCTAGTGTGGATTTGCACGTCAACTCAAAAAATGTCCAAAGTGACTGTGATAGATGCTAATAATCCAGCTGATATATTAGAAGTATTCAATGTTTGTCAGAGCCACTTGCTGTGTATCGCGAGTGTACCTGGTGCCAAGGAGAGTGATTACCTACAAAGTACAGACGATTATGCAATACGAATAGCGAATGGTGCTTGTGATAACGATCCCAATAACACACGTGCCAACGAGGGTCAGATTGCCGAAGAAGTCGCGGGTGATGGTAAAAACTGCCTAAAAATTGGTGACTCTGATGATCGCAGTCAGGCGATTTCAGAGGGGCCGAGCTCCCTTGATGAGAAACCGAGTGAAGGCTTGGAGAGAGTCACTGACCTTAATCAAAGCTCAAATACAGAACCACAAAGTTTAGAAACTATTGACAGCGAGACCGCTAATCTGGGGAAAGTTCATTTTGTTAAGAGTAATTTGGAGGAGTTGTCGAATAAGAAGAATGAGGGGGAGGGGGATGCGGAGAATGAGGAAATTGGCGAGACGAATATTGAGAAAATGTCGTCTATTCAACCAACTATGTGGCTTGGAGCGCAGAATGGGGCGGTTTATGTGCACTCGGCTGTGGCTAAATGGTCGGTGTGTTTGCATACTGTTAAATTGAGGGATGCAGCATTGTCGATAGTGTAAGTGTCTTCATTTCTTTGGAATTAATTGAAAATAATATTATGTTTCTATAAGGAATTGGTGAAGAATAGGAGATGAATCTGGAAATTTAAAAAATGTCTTCGAAACTAGTAGATTTGCAGGAAAATATCAGAAGACATCTTTTTTAAACAAAATTCCTTGTAAAGAAGTATTTTTTTTCAATTTAAAAAAATTTATAACTTCAAAGATATTGGCAATGAAACGATAAGTGAAAGAAGTTCAAGGAAAGGTTCACGTGCAGATTTTTTCCCTAGTATTATCAAAAAGAAGAGATTCATGGAAATTCATCAAAGGATTTTTTTTCGCAGTTCTCACAATTTTCTGTACGAAATGTTTTTCGGAAAATACTCAGCTGATTAATTTTAGACTTCTCTCTTGCCCTTCACTACTTCACTACTAATTTGTTTGTTGCTTTCGCAAAGAAAAGAGGTTCTAGTTTCCAAAACCAAGTGGATAAATTGAAGAAACTCATGGTTCTAGAAGGCATTGCACTGAAAATAAAAAACTATTTACTTAATTTAAGAAGACAAATAATAATTCAACATTAATTGAGTCAAGGTGTCAGCTGATATGCTATGAATGACAAAGGATTTGTAAACATGAGTACATTTATGTTAGGATGTTCTCAATTTGAGATCCTAAAACTTTTTGATTGTAGAACCCCAAGACTTTTATTCAAGAACCTAAAAGCTCTGAATTCCACAACGAAGTTCAGAGATTTTCACTGAAAATATAAAATTTTCGTTCCCTGCGTTATGATCTTGAACTATGATATTAATTGTTTAATTCTTCCAGTCATGTTCAAGGACGAGTATTAGTAGCCCTAGCTGACGGGACAGTTGCAATATTCCGGAGAGGATCAGATGGACAATGGGACCTATCACAGCACCACATCATCACTCTTGGTAGCCCCCAGCATTCGATTCGCTGCATGACTGCTGTTTCTGGAAAAACAATTTGGTGTGGATACAGAAACAAAATCCACGTTATCGATCCTATTCTAATGACTCTCGAGGTAAATCTAAAGAATGAAAAACATTCATAGAATTGCAATTGTCACGTTGAAATAAAGTTGAGAGGGTCTGTGAAAGTTTTAAGCAATGAGAGTAAGGATTAGGAATCTTTCAGTGTACCGTGGATGCACATCCGAGGAGGGAGTCTCAAGTGCGTCAGTTAGCTTGGTTGGGGGAGGGGGTCTGGGTCAGTATTCGGTTGGATTCTACCTTGAGACTGTATCATGCACACACTTATCAGCATCTTCAAGATGTGGACATCGAGCCGTATGTTAGCAAGATGCTGGGAACTGGAAAACTTGGCTTTTCCTTTGTGAGGATTACAGCACTGTTAATATCCTCCAATAGACTATGGATTGGTACTGGGAATGGAGTCATCATATCTGTACCCTTGTCCGAGAGTAAGTAGAAAATTTATCTATTTCACTATACTGTTGACAATTTTTTGCGGAAATTTCCGCTACACTTTGTAAGATAAATTATTTTATCGATAGAAGAGAAATAGTTATCAGGGTAGGACAAAGCAAATTTAATAAGGAGAAATAACATACAAGAGGAATCAAATGCCGTATAAATATCTATATGATATGTAACGATCGGCTTTGAGGTATCAAACGAACGACATCTCGTCCTCTTTCCTCCAGGCCGGCACCACGTAAACATCTCTCAGTATTTCTATATCAATTGGGATCCCAAAATTTTGAATAAAGTTGCACAAAGTACACGGACAGGTTTCATTATATATGGTTGAACTGCAGTCAACATATATTAGGTGTGTGACTTAATTTTTACAGATTTTTCAGTAAATTTATTTAATATAAAAAAATAGAGAACAAGGAACTTAATCTTGGAAATATTGTCCATCGTTTTCTATGACGTTGCGCCATCTCTCAGGTACCATTCGAATGCCGTCGCGAAAGAAACTTGCAGGCATCGAGGCGATAAAGTCATCGACGAATTTACGCACATCGTCCAGCGTTTTAAACTGTTTATCCACTAAGGCGTGCTGCATGGACCGAAATAAGTGATAGTCGGATGGGGCCAAGTCTGGTGAATATGCTGCGTGCGGGAGAACTTCCCATCCCAAGTTTAAGAGGGTCTTCTGAGTCGCGCGAGCAACGTGAGGTCGAGCATTGTCATGCAACAGTATGACTTCCTGCTTCCTTGCCCAGTAAATTTTCCAGCTTTTTCCGATCAAGTTCTTCGCTCAGTTTATTCAGTTGTCGGCTGTAGCGTTCCGCAGTCACCGTCTGACCTGTTTCCAGGAGTTCGTAATAAAGCATACCCTTCATGTCCCACCAGATACACAGAAGAATCTTCTTTAAGTGGATGTTCTGTTTCGGCGTCGATGCACTGGATTGTCCGGGATCTACCCACGACTTTTTACGTTTGGGATTCTCGTAAAAAATATTTTTTTCATCACCCGTCACAATTCTCCACAATAAGTCCTTTTTTTGTTGCCGCGCAAGCAGTGAAACGCATGTGTTCATACGTTGATCTAGGTTGTGTTCGGTCAACACATGTGGGACCCACCTTCCAAGTTTTTGGATTTTGACCATTTGACGCAAACGCTTAGAAATAGCTGTTCGGGTGATTTCTAACTGAGCTGCAAGCTCTTGTTGCGTTTGCGTTGAGTCTTCATCCAGTAGAGCTTGCAATTCCGCACCTGTAAACTTCCGAGGCTGTCCAGGACGCGGCTGGTCACTCAGATCAAAATCAACACTTCTAAAACGTTTGTACCAATAATTACACGTTTCATAAGATACAACGTCGGCACCAAGAACACTACACATTGATTCCCGTGTTTCAGAAGCATTTTTTCATTGTTGGAATTCGTATAAAATGCCGAATGTGCTGTTTATCAGTTGCCATCGTAAACTCTGCTATTCTGAAAGGTTATGTAACTTACATAGACGTGTCCTTCCGTGTTCTGAAACCTTTTGTTCGATCCTTTCTAAACCAGAAAAGACCGCGAATATATTTCTATTTTAAATATAATTTTAAGCTCGAAGAAAAATCTGTAAAAATTAAGTTACACACCTAATATTAGATAAGTAAACCTATTTTCTCATACTACGACAGGGCGTGCGGTTCGCGGACGTATTTTTTTTCATAGGGGCCAGAATCATCAAACTTTACCGTTTCTCACTATCATTAATTTTTATCTCAATAATAATGCAGAAAAAATGAATGGTTCCAACAAAGTTTTTCACGATGAGAATTCAATTGTTGAATAATTTATTCGGAATCATCATAATCCTCTCCATCTTCTTCGGTTCTCTTTTACTTTTTGCGTTCTTTTTTATTTTTAGGGATGTATTATGTACTATATAGGGGAGGGTGGGGTAAAACGGACACTTTTGACTTTTTTTTAAATGTTAATGGGTTGAAAAGTTGAAATTTAATCTTTTTTTTCTCAGTACAAAGAACAATTCTTTCCCTTTGTGACGAGCCTAACCTGAGCTGAATTGATAAATTTGTTTCTGAGTTATAAATTTTTTTTTTTATTTATGCATTTTAAACCAATAGGTTTACTCTGCTAAAGAATAATAATCATAATACATAGTATACAGAAGTATAATTAGTCATATGAAAGAGTAATAAACTATTTACATCGGTATCTCATACATTTAATTTAATATTCATCAAGAATATGTCAATAGCCATGATTGCTTTCATGTTGAGTGTACTGAGAAAGACTTTTATATCGTAGGGTGAAAACATATTCTGATCTCTGAGTTTGCTCATCAATTCTAGACGTTTCTCAGAATATCTTGGACATTGCCATAAAACATGATTCAAGTTCTCGTCAGGACACCCACATTCACACTCTGAAGAAGCAACAATACCAATTCTGGCAAGAGAGCTTGCCAGACTGTAATGATTGGCTCTTGCCCGATTAACCCAAGTGATAGTTCTGCGTGGCAGTTTATGTCCGTAGAACCACGGTTTTCTACTTTTTTTGTAATATCTTTCGAAATATTCAGTACCCTTATCAGCTGTTACTTGATCAATCTTTTGCTGAGTGATAGTGAAGGATTCATTTTTGAAATCTTCCCTATAATCCGTGAACGGTATTTTGTACTCTTGGTTCGCTTTTAGAGTAGTAGCTTCGTTAGCAAGACGATCCGCCTCCTCATTCCCTTCAATGCCCATGTGAGACGGTACCCATTCAAACTTAATATCGTTATTTCTATTCCTTAATAGCTCTTTGGCGTTGAGAATATAGTTGCTCGCTCTGATATTTAATACTGGTGAGGACAAATATCTAAGTGCACTGAGGGAATCAGAAAGAATGAGGAAGTTACGATCTTGATTAGCCATTGCTATTTTCACAGCCTCCTCGAGTGCTGCACTCTCAGCTGTGAAAATAGATGCTCTGCGGTCAATATCGATTCTCACATCAATGTTGAGTTCTGGACATCTACAAGACACCCCAACCGACCGATCACTCCCTCTCTGTTTACTACCGTCTGTATAAATTCGAATGTAATTGTCATGTTGATTATCTACAATCGTGTTGGGATTACCTCCAAATTCCACCACAGTTCTAACGATTTAACCATTCTCCTCGTCAAGAGGAAAATTATCAATCAGTGAGGAGTAGCTTCTTTTATAAACATTAAAGTGATTGTCTATACTTAGTGTCAATAAGAAAGGTTTTATACTTTCAATACACTCTTTCATAACTCTGGGTCTGGCTTTAATGCTGTTATTGCCTCTGATATACAAGTCATTAATCAGTCTGGAAACCTGAGTATCCGAATGGGATAGAATTTTTGTCAAGCAGTTATTACACAAGAAGACTGCACGTGCATAAACTGTTGGGAGTTTGCTTTCAGCAGAGCAAAATCTCAATTGGTGTAGAATACTTGTGGGCTGCACCTAATAGTACAACCTCCCACTGTAACCGAGGTATCTCTAGGGGGAACACGTCTTTTATGAAAATGTAGTAGCTCTGTCTTATGGGGTGAAAGAGACAGGCCAATCCTCTGTAAATTCTTTTCTACGGTTTTAACAGATTCTTCAAGAATTCTGGTGCTGTTAGCTATTGAAGAGCAGCTAATGTATAAGGCTAAGTCGTCAGCAAATTGTGAGTCTTGAACATCCCGGTGTACTCCATTTGTAATTTGTGACACGTAAAGGGTATAAAGCAGTGGTGAGAGCAACCCCCCCTACGGAACACCCTTGTAAACATTTCTGGGAACTTCGTTGTATTGAGATGATATTTCTCTTTCATACGTAAGGAACTGTATAAACTTAACCAAGTTAATGGGACATCCTATATCAGCCAGTTTTTCGACTAATATAGTGGAGACAACATTATCAAAAGCGGATTTCACATCTAAAAAGACCGCGAGAGTCTCACGATTCTTAGAGAGATTGTGATCTGAGTAGAGAACTATATTACTCACATTATCATGGATGGACCTTCCACTTCTGAAGCCACTTTGGCTGTTCGGGAGAATATTTTTGAATTCCACCCACCATTGTAAACGATTTTTCACCATTGTTTCAAATAATTTACAAAGACATGATGAGAGAGAGCAATTGGTCTGACATCATGGCCATTCGACTTGGGTATGAAGTGTATGTATTGAGAAGTCCAGTCCTTAGGAAAAATAGAATTAATATACGTGAGGTTAAAGATATCTAGCAAGATTAACTTGTATTTTACTGGTAATTTTTTGATAACATCATAATTTCGTTTTTCGGGTTGTAAGGGCCTGATTAAATTCAACAAAGTTAAACATGTTATTGAGAATTTCATTGTCTTGACATACCGGTATGTATTCCGGATTTGTGGGACACCAGGGGGGGCTGAGAGTATCGAGGGTCTCGGATATTCTTGATTCAAACTGAAGATGGTTTTGTTTATTGAGAGAGTCGTTATTCACCCAAGCATTATTGAGGATTCTACATGATTTCCAAGCGTATGGCATATTTTTTCTCAGATCAATTGATTCAGAAAACTCGATAAACTGGGTCTTCCTCTTCATTCCAAAGAGCTTTCTAGTCTCTTGTTCTTTCTCCTTATAGATATCTCGATCTGTTTCATCTTTCGTATATCGCCATCTTTTAAATGCAGATTGCCAAATTCTTTTAGACCTCTCGCAATCTGCATCCCACCAGGCTACCGGGTTTCGATGTATGTCTGCGCGAACAATTTTTCTTATGGGGGTGAACATTTTAATTGCTGAGGAAACGTGATCTACAAAAAATTCATATCTATCACAAGGGGATAGTTCCTCAAATTGAGGATCCAGAAAGCTGTCATACGTGTTTTTAAGTTCTTCAGTTACCTGGCCCCAGTCTGTCTTGACTGAGTCCAATTTGAATGTCTGTTTGCGATAAATTCGCTTTTCAATACTCAGATCAATAGTTAGTGGGAAGTGATCGGAGCCCCAGGTTTCCTCTGCGACCCGTATACCAATTTTATCAGCTATAGATGCAGAGGTGAGTATCAGGTCAATATTGGATTCACTTTGATGTCCCACCCGTGTAATAGAATCAGTATTATGCAAGATGAGATTGTGTCGATTGACTGTTTCAAAAAGTCTATTACCATCAGACGAGGAGGAGCGGCAATTCCAAGCAGTATGCCAAGAATTGAAGTCCCCCATAATTATTGTATTCTCCAAAGATTCTGTAAGCTCCGTCAAGCCAGGCAGCCAAGGTGCTCGAATCGACTCGGTCAATAGCTCGAAATTACATGCTTTTTATAAGCTTTTTTTCTGTGCAAACCAAAAATTTTCTGCTGAAATATTTTGGGCGTAAAATCGATTTTTCCGTTTTTGGCGTTAAGCTAGGCGGCCAAGTCATCAGAATTGGCTCGAAAACTACGCTGAGATATCTTTTAATTTATAAGCTAATTTCCTGTGTTGAGAAAGCCATGAAAATGCCCATTTTTCCGGGAAATCCCATATGGGCTGGAAAATGGGCAAATTCAAGGTCATCGCATGGGCCTGCTGTCTGGCCCAGATTTATCAGCTATTTATAAGCTAATTTTCTGCGCGAAGCAAAAATTTTCTGTCCAAATATTTTGGGCTAAAAGTCAAACTCTAGGATTTGGGCGTCTACCTAATCGCTCAATTTGTCAAAATGGGTTAGAAAATCAGCCTGAAGTATCTTGTGATTTATAGGCTAATTTCCTGTGTTGAGAAAATCATGACAATTCCCATTTTTCCGGGAAATCCTATATGGACTGGAAAATGGGCACATCCAAGGTCATTACATAGGCCTGGTGTCTGGCCCAGAATTATCAGCT